GTATATTTGTATATATATATATATTTGTATGTATATATATATATATAATTACTTTTGTATCCTTCCAGGCTTATGTGTTGAATTGAACGGGACTTTGCGTTTCGTATCTATTCCTAGGCTTGTTGGTATTGGCTTTTGAAGCATTGTATGCGTGCTTCTGTGACTTCAGACGTGCCGCAAGGTCTTGACTCGATATTGTGAATCTGTGATAGCTTTCTTAGCGCCGTGTTTTCTCCCGGCGGCTCTTGTTCTATTAGTGGAAAGGCTCACTTCGTTACTATACCATATGTATATACTGCAAGGACATCGCTTATTGTACCATATGCGTATGATAGCACTCACCTACACATCCGCACATATCACAAGTTCGGGTTGATCTTCCTGACTGTACCGATTTTCTAGTGAGATATATGGATACAAGGGATGCAAGTACAGCCGTGTATGGCTGGTTGTTTGTTTAGATCCCTGCCAGTCCTGGTCCTATCGTACTTGGGCTAGATCTGAAGGCATCATTTTTGAGCCCTAAGGCCCACTCACTCAGTCGGTTACTGAGTTCTGGGCTCTGTAGCCACTGACATAGTTTAGTTAGCCGTGTTCATTGGTCACTCACTAATTCTCATACATACACGTAGATGTGTATAGTCTTATGCAGAGGTTGCATAGCTCACGATACAATGAAGGTATCTAACGCCACTGTGCAGATCAGGAAGAGCAACGGTGTCTCGGATCGTACGCAAGACGAATAAGATACTCAAACGGTCACCAACTGGCATCTACACTCACACCTTCATTCATGTGCAACTCAAACGGTCACCAACTGGCATCTACACTCACACCTTCATTCATGTGCAACCCCCTTCACCCGCCCCCTTTAAGGCGCACACACATCCATTCATATACATTAAAGACACACATATCTATTCCTATACACTAAAGCCACTCACACATCCACTCATATATACTATAGACACTCACACATCCACTCATACACACTGAAGACACTCGCACATCCACTCATACACCACTAAAGACACTCACACATCCATTCATGCACACCCCCTCTAAAGATTCTGCCACCGGTTGTCACGTTCTTAGTGCTGGCGCTGTACGATCACATCACCTATCGCCGTGGTCCGCTGTTTGCCGAACCAGAGCGTCCAAAGCGAGACTAGCCGGTTTATTCCAATAAAATGCAAAATGCGCGTAACTGTGAGATGGTATTGGGATGTATCCCATTTTTTTTCCTGGATTTGCGTGCGTGCTTGATACAATACACATCCACAAGATGTGTTCTAGTTTATAGGAACATGTAAGCTATGCTAGTTAATCTGAACATGTGAGCTATGCGAGGTCAAGGATATACGATTGTCAACTCCACTTGCAACTCATCTCTTTTAAAATAAATAGTATTAACCCTAAACGATGTGTGTTGCGTCATTTGTGGTGAAGTGTTATTGAGAACTTTTGGGCTACTAGAAGTCAAGTAATGAGTTGTAGAGCTACATAGCTATACGATATGTGATGCGTCATTTGTGGTGAAGTGGTACTGAGAGCTTTTGGGCTACTAGAAGTCAAGTAATGAGTTGTAGAGCTACATAGCTATACAATATGTGATGCGTCATTTGTGATGAAGTGGTATTGAGAGCTTTTGGGCTACTAGAAGTCAAGTAATGAGTTAATTGATTAGGTGTGTGTGTTGTGTGTGTGTGTGTGTCCCCCAGTCATAGCTCAATGGTAGAGCATGTCTGTATGTGATCTTATACACCAGATTTCATCCAGACAAGGTGTTGATTCGATCCAGCTGAACTAATTTAAGTCTGCTATCAGTCTAATTTATATGTGTGTATTGCCCATACTTCGTATAAATTAACCGCGTGTCAAGGAAATTAAATTCACTGATATCTGGATGATATATACATACTCCAAGCAAGTCACTGCACACACTGTTCGTCCGATTTCCGATCAGTGCGATGGAATACAACTCGTTATTTATTTGTCCATAATAATGTTTGAAGTTATACAATGCAGGCTGACCAGGTGATACATCATCCCTCGTCATCTCAAAGGCATAGTACAATCGCGGTGCGCTGATCGCCACTACCTTCCCCAAAGTTCCTTTGGCTACATCCTTGTGTATCGCAGGTTTATATACTGTTGAACATTTAGACATCAGCTTTGCACACTGTTTAGATCGGTAGGCCATAATAGACATTGATAATGAAAGTGATACGAAACATAAAGACAAATATATGCGTTATAATGCGAGAAATATACATCTAAACACCCTGAGAGATGGACCATTCGTTCCCGTTTTGCCTTTGTGGTAATTGATTAGTGGGTAGTTTTCGTCCACTCTAGCCATAGTGATTCGTTGCCATTTTCATATTGATGTGACGTAGTCTCACATTGGACTTCTGTCTGACTTCCGTTATCAAGCACAATACTTCCGTTATCAAGCACAATACCTAGGTCTGTCAAAGGTTTCATTTAAAAGGCTATGTTCCTTCATATGAAACAAGTGAACACCCGACGTGCGTTCAAAATAGAAATGATATTTCTCTACAAATATACCCGTTTTTTGCTGTTGAAATAGCGACCAAACTAAAGTAAGATCAACCCTAAAACCTGAAATCGTAAATAAACGTCGCAAACATACGCACATACCGCGGCAGGCTAGTGCAACATATTAGTACGCAGTCGCTGGTCCAATACAAAACTGCGACTAAATAACTTAGTATTACAAATGTAAATGGCAAGCAGAATACCAATGTACGCCACGTGGCACGTGGCATTATTCAGAGGCGCTTGGAAGCAAATATATCCTTGCAAAGATCAAACTATGGAGTGTGGGCCTAGACGGTGGTATTTGTAATAGTAACAACTAAACGAAATCATAACAAACTGACACTTGTGTGAGTTCAGAATTGTCACGAGTTGACAATTGACATTGTATTTTATTATATGTATTTGCAACTATTTGTTATAATATATTTAGTCAAGAACTTGATTTTTGTTATTTATTCTTAGAAGCTTTTATCGAACAGTCCAACACGCACATCGCACAGACGCACACTCAGCTGACGGCCAGACGAGTATGAAATTAATCAACTTATGAATTCTGAAACATGGGATAGTGAAAACACACAATTAGCTGACTGGTATGTACATGTTTATCTTCTGCATGGGCATTGGCTGGTGGCGTGGATTTTGCACCAAATGGCTTTTGCTTTCTACTGGTTTTATAGCCAATTGCTCCTTTTGTTTGGATTGGCTCTTTAAACCCCAAAAGTTCAAGTTTGCGGCTTTTTTTGCAACGAAGGAATTCATTGGCCATCACTGCGTGTCTCACGAACCGACGGCAGTCGGGAGTTCGGGACGCGGGACGACGGTCGACTCATCAGTGTCAACTGTTAGTCTGTTATCACTGATGACTGATCGACTCAAAAGTCAAAGTTGACTGAAGACAGTGCAACGCTCAAAATATAATGAGTATGTACATACTAGTTTATGAGTTGACAACCCGACAATTAATTATTTTACTGGCGATAAAGCTATATTTGTGCCGCCATTTGAAGTTTGAGTGTGTGTGTATGAAGTATTAAGCAGTCCAGCTCCGAAAGCTGCTGAGTGCTGATCAAACATATAGTTGAAGCGATCGAACAATTGCCGCTGAGATTGCTACAAACAGAAATATTTCAGCTGCAATAGATAGAGCGAAAGAAGTCAGAACTTCACAAAAGTCGTCTTGTATTTAACTAACGCAGTTTTCTCTTCCCTACATTTAATCAGTTGTAACCTTAAGTCCTGTTTAGTCAGCTTGCACTTTATAGTACAACATGCCTGCCGAAACAGCAACACCGGCGGTCACAGCAGTGCAAGTCACAAAGAATGAACAGAGGGATGAAGCCCTTGTGTTGCTGGAGTACATGCTACTGAAGAAGACTGAGAGCAGCATGGTCTCTGCGTGGCAGAAGAGGTATTGTGTGCTGAAGTCCGACGGGAAACTTGAGGTAAGTTATATTGTTGTTGTGTGTACATAATAAATGCTAGTTTCATATGAAGATGAGATAATACATGTGCTGTATGTTGAC